ACACTTCTAATTATTTGACGGAGATCCCATAAAATGTATATTTTTCATAAGGATAAAAATCTATGCCGATTTAGCTATGGAATCCTAGAGCTCGTAATATTTAAGATAAAGCTTTAATATTGAACATGTTTTATATCGGTTCTCGGTTTATATCAATCATCTCAAATAAGCCAAGGTCGAAAATTCGCATAAAATTTGGTCGCTCAAAACGGCCACGAGCAATTTAACTATGGTATGAACCACCGATATTATATACAACAAGGACTTAGTATAAATAAAAAATAAAAGTATAAATTATTAGTCCAATCCAAATGTTCTGATCGCCTAAAATGAGAACGCTGTCGGAATTTATCGGTATTTACCTGATTATTTGTTTAATATAGAATGATATAAAATATTTTGTACTATAAATATTATTTTTCCACAATTTTTAGTAGTTTCGTAAAATCTCAACTTCTATAATATGTATTTGAAAATAACCCATGGCATCTTGGGAAAATTTTTCGTTGATTTACCAGCAATATTAAATTTTATAAAAACATCTAGAATTTTTTTAATACAAACTTAAATAAGTGTACCCAAAATTTAAGTTGCCCTTAGAAAATAGTTCTTCCACCAAATTAAGCTAATTCTTTTCGCGTTCCTTTTGTTTGTGGAAACAAAACTATTCACATCACTTGAAGCGTTGTATCTGCCACAACACATTCTTCACTCGATGAGTGCCGCTGCTTCTGCTTGTTACCAAGAAAACATGTTTCATAACTACACACTCCACTCTCTATGTCGAGGAGCAGCTTAAGTAAATCGCATTAACAACTCTGAACGTTTCTTTAAGCCTCTTGAAACAAGTATACCGGCCCAAAGGCAATGTTGATAAATTTACCTTGGCGCTCTTTGACATATATACCCAATTTTCATAGGGGAGCGACAATGTTTAATAGGGTGGAATAAAATAACAATGATTAGGGGAAATATACCATTTCCTCGAAATTTCTGATAATTTAAATATAAATTCGTTATTGAGATATTTGACTGTATATTTATTCATTACACCCCAATGTATGTCGTGTTATTTCTTTATATTTCTCACGTTTAAAGATACCCGTTCGTACAAAACTTTTTGAACACCATTTGATGAATGAGACCTCATGTTTGAATGAAAACAAAAAAAAAACTTCAAAACAAAAACCGTCCCAAACTTCAATGAAAGCCCAAAATACAGGAAATTGAAGCTTCAATGCAGGTATACAACTGTAAAAAACTACCTGGTAAATGATTCTTGAAAAAATTCTGTAGACATTGAAGTAGTGTATAGATGCTGTTGATTAAAAAATTTAAAGTAAATAAATTGTTCAACACGAGATGTCTATTTTGAAACATAGTCCAAATTGTCTGGTTATTTAGAGTTTTATCTGGTCTCTAAAAAATATAGGTTCATGCGTTGACATGAATGCTGTTGCTGAACCAGCATGAATATTTTATTAATCGCAATCTTCTCCGATTTTTCATATATTCATGTCAATAGTTTTACCAGAATTTGGAAATATATTTTTTTTGGTTAGGGAAGTGTCTAATATTGGAAGATAGAGTGTTTTATAATTTAAAATTGCATCATTCTTTTTTATTTATCGTCACACCCTAATATATTTATGTTGAACAAATGAATTTGTGTCGGAAGCATTTCAATTTCAAATTTATAAAACAACTATCTTTGAAATATAAAAAAAAAAAACAAAATACTGACGACCTTTTGTTTGTTGCATAACTCAAGGACTTTTGGAATGCCACTAAGAAGATTTCATTGTTTTGTAGTTTTTCTTCTTCCCGACAAAATCAACACTCTTAATAGCTCAAATATATATTTGTTTTTCTTAAATTAAATTAGTTTCAATTCCGGTAATTTTATTTTAATGTTTTAAGAGTTCCCCACTCCAATTAATGGAACGAATGAATATAAATATTTAGAAAAAATATTATCGTATAATTTATCTTGCAAAAATTAAAATTTGGTTTTTGCAAAATAGTCAGGCTGGATCCCAGTTTGTTGTTTTTATAAAAAACAACTATTTATTAGTGGGGAATGTATGGCATTGTTTGCCGATTTTTTAAAACGAACGGAAAATTCAGACTTAATTTATGTCATGATTTATTATTTTTTATTTTATTTAACAATAAAATACATAAAACTGACAGGACAGGTTAAAATACATTTCCAGAAAATAGTTTCTCAAACAAAAGTGGGAACCTACCAACAAAATTATAATAATAAAAAAATAATATGATTAAAAGCAAATGATGTTGTTAATAATACCTTACAATTTGATTGTTTTCTTGTAAACCATTTTTTTAATTTATATCCAAATTGTATGTTTTATTTTATATAAATTTCTATTATCCTTCCATTCCCATATCTTTGGTATAAAACTGAAAAGGAAACTTTATTAAACCAATTACTTCTGTGTATTAGAGTACAACAAAACATCCATCTATTTATTTATTTATAAGCTCCCATATGTGATGTTTTTGGATTATTGTTTTTTTTTAATTCGATAATTCCTTCATTATTTAATTAATAATTTTTCTAAAAAAAGCAATAAAAACGTGTACAACAAGTTTAACTACGGCTGGCCATTTGAACCGCTCACATTTATGAACGTGTAATATACGTATGTGCGTGTGTTTGTGTGCGGTTATTGCAATAACAGATTATTCCAATTAATTTTTGTATTTTTCGCCACAACAACACCAACAACAATTGTAGTGTAATTGCAATTGTTAAACAACATACAATAATAACAATAACATTTACAACAACAACTACTAAGAAACATTACAAATAACAAATAAATTTAATTGGACAATACAACACAACCAACAACAACGTCGTCGTCGTTGTCATGAAACAGCTAACACGATTAATCAGTTACAAAACGAAAAAATCAAAAACGAATATCAAAACTTACAATCCATTCGATACTGGTGGCACTGGCACACCATCCAACATCCGAGGTGACAACAAAAACATTGATCATGATGGTGATGGTGGTGACGAAACAGCACATTCGCCGGCCAAGTCTAAAACGACGCGTAGCCTGGAACCAGTGGTGCACAAATACCATAAAGCGAATGAAGCGACAAGAAAGACAAAAACATCAACAATGAATGCAACAAACTTGGCCAAAATGAAAATGAAAGGTGGCCATAAGTTGTTGTCGTTTAAAAAGCCTACGTCATCCACATCGAGCTCTGTTGCTGCTGCAGCAACACCAGCGTCATCGAAATGCAACACTGCTGCACCTAGCAGCAATTCAACCAACATTAGGAGTTTTAATTACACATCGTTGAATCGCATGCGCAACAACAGCAATGCCAGCAGTTGTGCATCACATTCCATTGCGGGCCGTCAAGACGCCGGCAAACGTCGACGTAAATGGCAGTTTCTATTGTGGAAATGTTGTCGCAATCGCAAACGGAAATCACACCAACAACAGAGGCACCCACCGTCATCGTCGTCACGGCAAAATACCTCTCAACGGCATTGTTGGGCTTCTTTGATAAAATTCTGGTTGAGGTGTCGTTACAGACGTTCCGCATCGACTTATCCATACGTTGGCGATGGTGATGACGACGATGATGATATTGATGCTAAATTTGCCGCCTACATTATGGAAATGAAGGAACGGGAGGCAAAAGAGGAACATGAAGTCGGATTGCGAAACGTTCTCGAAAAGGGTGCGTCCGATGCTGGCAAATCTTCAACAAGTATGGCAACAACAAGAACAACACATTTAAATACTAATTCGTTATTACCATCTAGAACCACTAACCCACTGAGAATTTCATCTAATCCAACACTAGCCACAACATCTTTAACACCACCTCCTGATCTGACAGCACTAACCCAAAATGTTTGCTCTTCTCCTCCTCCCTTGCCAACGAATACAGGCAATAGTAGAGTTACATTTGCCAAAAATTGTGCCACGAGTTCGCATAATTTTATACAACGACGTCACAGCCAACACCAAATACGCAGCAATGGTGCGGGTACTACTGGTGATGGTGGGGGTGGTGGAAAGAAACGTCGTGCCTGGACCTGGGATGATAGTTTACGTTCCAATTCTGATCGTTTTTTGGAAACATTGGAAGAGGATGCTGGGGATTTTGTTATGATTAAGGAGTGTGTCATTGAAACTGCCTCCACATCGGTAAATAGTTCAAGGGCCAGTGTTACGAAAACACGACCAGCATTACAGCAATTATTGTCGATGGGTGGGGATCGGCAGCAAAATGTTGTCGATGATAACGATAATGATGAAGATGATGTTGAATTGGATGTTGTTGGTGATTTTGTTATCGTACATGGAGGTAGGGTGTTGGTGTGATGATTTTTGCGAAGTAATATATATTTTAAATATTGGTGGCTTGCAAATCAGAATTTCAAAATTGAATATTTTGATTCGAACATGTTGTACAAAAATATAGAATAATTAGAGAATGAGTATTGACAGTTGTCTTGCAATCTCCTCCTCTTAAACAATGCCAACAAATCATGCATCATTTACAATGAATTTGCTTACAATTCAAATGCTAAAAATATATACTTATGTTAACATGGACCTACCCACTACTGCCTATAGGTTAAGTTTCATGACAAATCATTAACGTGAGGATGAAAATTTAAATTTAGATAAACACTTTTACTCAGGCAATCAAATGATAAACAATAAAAAATGCACACATACTCGTACACACATTTTTCTATGTTATTATTAGACAATGACAATCATTGTTGTATTTATATTGACCTCACTCAATCTTTCCCTGTGGTTAGTTTTTTATCTCTAAAATTAATAATAAAAAAACAAATGTGAGCTACAATTAAATACAATGAATGAATGAACAAATCAAATGCCAGTTTATATTGTAAAACATTAACTTTTACTGTAATGTCAAGTGAAATAATACTAATTCGCATTTTTTGTTTACTTTCTATTTTGCAGAGGAGGCCAAAGCTGCAGCCGAAGAGTTAAACCGCTCACCAGTAATGGGTCAACGTAATTACGATCCCGCATCTAGTCCATTGCAATCACGTGGCTCCGGTTCCAGCGAAAACTGGCCTCAGCAATCCGATGAAGATATTGATCGTTTGGTGGCAATGCATCAGAATCGCAGCAGTTTGAGTTCATTGGGTGTAAGTATATACGAATCTGCGACAAAATCAGATAACACTACAGATAATAACGAAGATAATGCATTTTCTAAAGAATGATGTTTTCTGCGGGACGTTTTTTTATTTGCCATAGAATTTCAATGGAAATTAACGCTTTTGATAAACTCGACGTGACTTTGAAGTATTTGCATCAACGCAAAAAAAAACGAAACACTCATTTATACATATCTTTGGAGATATTTTTTATTTTATTCAGTTTCATATTTTCCATATGATAATCGGAATATAGATAAAGTCGACTGAGCAAAGATCATTAGCAAATTAACGTTGAGATAATTACACTAGCTTACAGAAAAAAAAAAACATTGAATACCTTGTGGCTTAATTGCATGGAATTATGTTTAATTGAGTAAATTATTTTCACAATTCTCTGCGATTTTTTTTTTTTTTTTGGGTTGCTTAATTATAGAAGAGCTGTGAACAGGGTTCTGTTCACCAATACATGAACATTAGGGACAAATATCATACAGAAAAGTGGGGTTTCAAAAAAGTCGAATCTTATTATTTTAGCATATTTATATAATCAGTCTTATCGAAATATTGATTTTAGACTCCATATTTCTTTGGACCAAATCCGTTTCAGACAATTCGGAGTTGATTTACAAATGTTCGTCTGTCTTGTTGGCTGGTGCTCACAATAACTCTCGAAGGGTGTAACCGATTTCAATGAAACTTTATACATCGAAATATTTCTTCCACGTTCGAAGATGGGGAATATCGTTCCACTCCTTCTTATATCTCCTTAAAAAATTATGCAGAAATGTAATTTTAGAATACCATGCCAACGGACTATTCGATGTGAACCACAACGGATAGTCCTATTACCTTTACCAAGACCGGACCAAGTCCGACGATGAAAGACATTGGTCCACTCAATATTTATAAATCCAATATCAAGCTAACGCACTATACGATTTGAACCAAACTTTTTACCTTCTGCTACTCCCTTCACCCACAAAGGGTCAATATTTCATAAATTTTATTAGAAGCGAATTGAATAAGTTATTTGGTCAGAATTAAATCCGAAACCTCTTAGATAAAAATATATACCATATATAAGAAAACAATGTGTGTAATTTCGAAGCCCTTCACAAACCATAGTGTGTATACCTGTCGGCTATTCCACTGAAGAAACGTCTTAACATCGGCTTTTTGAGATGGCATATATTCAGTCAAATGAGGAACATTTTTTCTTGAACCGTAAATACCATAAGAGGAGATTTTTTGACCAAAAAATAATCTAAAATAATGTCGACCATAAGATCATAGGAAGCCCAAAGACAAGAAACCAATATTCGATTTTTTTCAACGTGATTTTCACGATTCTTGTTCAGAATACCTAATATCTACTAAAACTTGCAAATTTCGAATAAATTAAAATTCTTCTAAATTCTTATTCAGTATGTTCCATTATTTTTAATATAAAATGTTTTAAATTTGTATTATACAGTTGCGATCCGATTCCATGGCCAGTGTCTATTCGGGAGCTGGCGAGGGTCGTTATGGTACAGTGGTGGTAAAGGGTCAAGTCGAATTTGCCATGCAATACAATTACAAATTGGGAGCATTGGAGATACATGTGGTACGCTGTAAAGATTTGGCTGCTGTCGATGCCAAACGCAATCGCAGTGATCCCTACGTTAAGGTAAATATTAACAAATTAATTATAAAAAATTGTATTCTTTATTTAATACCAATTTTTCTTATATCTGCAGGTTTATTTATTACCCGATAAATCTAAAGCTGGTAAACGCAAAACCAAAGTTAAGAAACATACCTTGAATCCCATCTTCGATGAAGTTCTACGTTTCCATATGCCCATCTCAAGTTTAGAGTCACGTACTCTATGGCTGACTGTTTGGCATTCGGATATGTTTGGTCGCAATGATTTCCTGGGTGAAGTTAGTGTTAATTTACAAGGCAGAGTATTTGATAATCCCCAATCACAGTGGTATTTGCTACAAGAAAGGGTAAGGTGGAAGATATGTTCAATTTTTTTACAATCAAATTAATTATATATTTTATAATTACAGAGTGAACCTTTTGATGATGTTGCCACCTACAGAGGTGATATTGTGGTGGGCCTGAAATATGTACCCCCAGAGGGTGCTAAGACCAGTTTTATGCGTTCCAGCACTTCCGGCTCAGGCGGTGGTTTACGTAAATTTGGCAGCATAAAATCGGTGGCCATTTCGAAATCTGATCGTTCAGCCAAAGGTGGCCAGCTACATGTTTTAGTTAAGGAAGCCAAACATTTGACTCCTATTAAACCTAATGGTACTTGTGATGCTTTTTGTAAAAGGTAAGTCAATTGAGTTTCATGTGATCTTTGAGAATTGTACCATTTTTTTTTTTTTTGGTTTTCTTTCAGTTATTTATTGCCAGATCGCACCCGTAGTTCTAAGCAAAAGACACCCATTGTTAAACGTTCCACAAATCCCAGTTGGACCTACACAATTGTTTATGAGGATGTGACATTAGAAGATTTGTCTGAACGAGCATTAGAATTGACCGTTTGGGATCACGATCGTTTGGCAAGCAATGAATTTTTGGGTGGTGTACGTTTTTCACTGGGAACTGGTAAGTAAAAAAATAAATAAATTTAAGAAATGGGTCACAAGAATGGGAGAATTTCATTTATTAAGTGATCAGAAATTTCAATTTGTAATTATATCAGGTCGTTCGGGATCGTAGACTAAACTGTAGTGGAATGAAATATCCTTGGAATCGAATGTCCTTTATTCTGTCCGTCTTTTGCCTTTTTTAGAATTGGAAATACATGAATTTTGGAAAATATTTTGAATTTACACTACTACATAATATACTTGAAGCCTTTTTCGAGTACTTTTTATCTCCAAAGTCGTAGAGTAGTGACACTGGACTATGATCCGGGTAATAGCACCGTTGATGTGTTTTGGCCACAAATTGGAGCACAATCAACGATTATTGAGTAGGACATTAGAATCTCTAAAATCCCTTTTTTCATTGCTACAGTCTTTGTGTAGGCTAAGATCTGGTGATTATGGCGTCTTCGACACCATTGATGCCGTTTTTGGCCACAAATTTAAGCACAAGCAACGACTCGTGTCAATTTAGCTTCAATTTTCTTAATCTGCTTCTTTACACACATATATTTAATTATCATTATGTAAAATGTAACATTAATTCTTTCTTGTTTATTGCAGGCAAAAGTTATGGTCGTATTGTCGATTGGATGGATGCCTCGGGCAAAGAATTATCCCTGTGGCAAAACATGTTGGATCGTCCCAATTTCTGGGTCGAAGGCAGTGTGGTTCTGAGATCCTCACTGGACGGTATGAGAGCCATACCATAAGGATTGTAATTTAATCAACAAATTGTAGTTTTAATTCTCCCCCTACCCCCTACATATACATTTAAATTTTTGATACGCAACAAATGCGTCGAGAGTGTTTTTTTATAAATAATTATTATACGACAATTTGAATAATTTTATTCATATATGAAATGTATTTTTAACAAAATGACGACAAAAGTATTTTGAAATCATGCAACAAACAGAATATGAAACAAATATTTATTTCATGACAATTATTCACAAGCATTATTAGCATTACGAAATGACAAAAAATATATAAAATATCATAAAGAAAATTTGAAATGATAGCGCATTGCATCAATTTACAGTAAAATATGTTAATTATAATAAAATTATAAATATAACTTTACAATAATAATATTAATAATACATACTAGACTACAAATTACAACTACTTATGCATATACATACATATATGATATAATAATAATGACTATTATTATAATTATAAATAGCTCTATTTCTAAGTAATTATAAGGCAAATTCTAAACTAAGACAAGATAATCTTGAATAAAAACAACAACAAATACAAAACGATAATAAACCCAAAAAACATAACAATTTTTTACATTAAAAGAAAAAGGCCCCTAACAACTAATTCTTGAAGAAATCTATTGAAAAGAAAACACAAATATTTTCTTCCACCTATGATCTATGTGGATCTTCTAAACATATCATTATTTCATACATACAACAAAAAAGTCAAAACAAACGTCTTTCTGGTGAATACAAAAATCGCCTTAACTGCAAAAAAGGTATTTTGGTGTAGTATATTAACAAACAAAAAATAAAAAAACAATCTTAGAAAAACAAAACATGAAATTGTTAAATTTATATGAGCAAGCAGTATTCTTATACAAAAAACAACACAGACACACACATAGAAAAAAAATAAATTCATACATGAAAATAAATTAGAAATTTCGAGCGATTTCTAAAACAAAATATAAACGCAATAATATCTACTATACATTCTAAAGTTATGTGAAATAAAATCAAATATTTCAAATAGCATCGTTAATAATAAAAATTAAACATATTATTAATAAAAAAAAATATATATATTACAAGTTTCTGTTTCATTTGAGTTTTCATTAGTTTTTCTATTGTTATGTTGGTTTTCTACACTTTACACAAAAATCGTCTCTTACTATTTTTCGTTTTATTAAAATTTGGTTCAAAATATGTCGTTAGTGAAGTTGTAGCTGAATTACAAAATTAACGTTAAGAGCCTTCAATACCCGCAAAATTAGAGTTGTACACAAATTAAATCGATCAGTTGTGCCAACGTTATTCTCGTTTTTCTATATGGCCATGGGGAGAGTTGGCAAAAATTACTTTAAAATTCTGATTCGATTTAGCGATGTCTTCCTGTCTGTCTTTTGAACTTGCGATCGATATTGAATTACACAATAAAATATATATTCATAAAACATATATATTCCACATTTTCAGCATATGGCGATCCTGTCAGATTTGTATACCCTCAGCCTTATGTCCAATAATATACACTTTGATACAGTGAAAATGTGCCTCATCGAAATATTAATTTTAGACCCCAGGTTTCTTTGAACCAAATCCGTTTAAGACAATTTTGAGGCGATTTACAAATGTCCGCCTGCCTGTGAGCACGATAACTGTCGAAGGCAATAATCGATTTTAACCAAATATTTCATATCTTAATCTTCCAAACATAGTCTAAATATCGGTCTACTCCTTCTTGTACCTCCCCCATAAAATGGTCAAAATTTTGCTAAAAAATAATTTTATAATATCATGCGGACGAACTATCCAATTTGAACCAAACTTTGTACAATCTATTATTATCAAGTAGAAGAATGGTCCACTCCTCCCACAAATATCAAAATTTTCAATATTTGTAATTCCAATATCAGGCGAATTGAACCAAATTCGATTTGAACAAATTTGTGCCCAGACTGTTATCTTTACCCTGCCGATATCAGGTCCAAAGATGGGACCCATTGTCCACTTCTTCGGGTACCTCCCCCATAAATGGTCAAAAAGTTCAATATTTATAAATCCAATATTAGGTTAATAGCTTTTGAACCAAACATTGTACAAGCCATTATCTTTACGAAGTCTAGATCAAGTACGAAGATGGGACCCATTGGTCCACCCCTTCTGATACCTCCCTCACAAATGGTCAAAATTTTCAATATTTATAAATCCAATATCTGGCGAATAGAATATCCGATTTGAACCAAGCTTTGCACAAGCTTTTATCTTTACCAGGTCTAGATCAAGTCCGAAGATGGGATTCATTGGCCCACTCCTTCCGGTACCTCCCAAACAAGTGGTCAAAAATTTCAATATTTATAAATCCAATATCTGGCGAATGGAATGTCCGATTTGAACCTAACATTGGACTTTTATCTATTATCTTTATCAACCCTAGATCAAGTTCGAAGGTGGACCCATTTGTTCACACCTTGTGGTACCTCCCTCAGACGAATGAAATGTCCGATTTAAAACAAACTTTGCATTGTTTCCAAGTCTACATGGTCCACTCCTTCCGGTACCTCCCCCAAAAAGGGACAATATTTATAAACTTGCAAATTTAATTTCAAGCGAATTGAATAACCGATTTGATCAACATTAAATCCGAACCTTCTTTGATAAAAACATATATCTTATATAAAGGTAATTATAAAATCCGTGTGTAATTCCGAAGACTTCCGCAAACCATAGGCTGAGGGTATATATCTGTCGGCAGCCACGACTGACACTTTTTTACATGTTTAGGTACACAAAACTACTGCACAACATCATGTCCATTATTTGAAAATATCAAGTACAAACCTTCAGCCTAGTCGATGTTGAACTTTGAATATCCGTCATCATGAAATATGTCTACAACACCTTAAATCGTTGAGGACCTGATACGGGGCCTATGTTAAAACATGCACTGTAAATTGTCTACCAGGAGATTTTTCACCATCTGGAATTATATATTATAATTATGGATATAAAATGCGCCTAGAAATTGCTAAAATGGAGCTGAACCATTTTTCACCCTGCAAAAACCTGCAATGTCACATTGGTATCAGTTGAAACTATAACTATATATATTTTTCGATCGTATCTTTTTCTTTCTTCGTAAATTTCAAATTCATATTTTTGCTGTAATTGAATTAAAATTCTGTTTTCTAAAATACCTATTTACATACACAAAAACAGAACAAATATATTTACAATCATTTCTAAATCCTCTACAATTTCACTCTGTGGTATTACATTAATGAACTAGTAAATTGATAATTTAAGAGAGTTGTTTTGCAAAAACAAATTTATAAAATAATTATTTTGAATGCTTTTGTAATGAACAGAAAACTAAAATAAACAAAATATAAAACCAGAACATAAGCATTATTTAACTAAGAAGAGAATTCAACAAAAATTAAGCTCTTCTTATTATGAATGACTAGGGTTAGTTACAGACCATAAATAATGTACATATACAAACAAGCATACAGACACACACACACACACATATTCATACAACCTAACATTGCATACCACATCACACCACATACCACTTGCTGAATCACTTGTTGCCTAAATACCGCTTCAATTTTATACTTGAAAACAATTTTCCTAAAACCGCAAACAATCCAAATAATTAAGTCAACCAAGCGAAAGAAAACCATAACTGACTGTTCAAGCAGAGACGTCATGAGAAAACAACGTCTAACGAGAATCTGAATCTGAGCAAAGTCAAATATGTTTCCTACATTTTAGAAATTACTGAAGCTCACACCAACATAACAAGTGTGTATGTGTGCAATTTCGTTATTGCTATTGACCAAAATGGTATTTAGAACAAAACCAATTATACATAAATAATAAATTCATAATCCAAACAAACAAAGAAAAAAATCCATCAAATATTATAACACATTTGTATTTACATAAATATTTTGAAAATGGTAAATAAAGACACCCACACACACATATACCCATTTAATAACATTATTATATTAGCCATAATAGTTGAATATATTTTTTTGGGGGATTATATAAATCCACCACAACAAGAACAAGTGAGTTGAAATTTGTATCAAAATGCGTTATTGAAAAAAAAATATTGTAATTACTTAAATGGTAAGCCTAACCATAAAATAATGCAAATAAACATATATATTTGAAGTAACAAAAAATAAATAAATATTCTCCAATATAGTATAAAACATATATAATAATAAATTCTACAAAAAAAACTTTTGATACATCGTATTTCATATCAAAAATAGAAAAAAAACAAAGAAATGATAATGAAATATATTTAATTATACTTACATATATTTATAGTAGATGTAGGTAATTGATATATAACTCAATATAAATGATGTATTGAGCTAAACCACAACACGTATTTATTGGGGTAGAGCGATTTAAATTTTATTTAAAATTTTACTACATATTACGTTTTGGGTATTTTAAAATGTTAAGTGCTAGATAATTATAAAAATAACTAGCATATGCCCGCTACTTCGTTAGCGAATGTGGGAAATACTTAAGCATGTAATAACATATTATTTTATTTTCACAGAAAACAGAATATGTCAGAAAAACTAAACAATCCAGACATTAATATCGACCATATGTTTAATTTGAGTACCAAATTTCTCGAATCGAGCTCTAAAGTTTCACCCAGATCCAAATTTTACCAAATTTAGTTCCATTTAGCAAATATTATTTCCATAAGTACCCGCCTCCATCATCCAACAAAACTTCCTGCATACTCCGATCCTACACGCCACAAAAATTTCAAATTTCAGGATTTCAACCCTACCGGTTCACCCACAATTCAAATTGTATTATATTTAGTACGCAGTAGTAAGAATTTCCAAAACTTCCTACTTAACTCAAACCTTCACCCCACAGTGAACTTAAAATCAAGTTTCAGATTTCCAACTCTGTCGGTTCACCCACAATTCAAATTGTACTAAATTTAGTACATAGAAGTACC